CTTGCTGCACATATGAGAAAAATAAAAAAAAAAAAAGGAATAATAAAAATAATAATAATAAAAAAAGAATTAGCTGAGCAAGAGTCTCCTCTTGGAGAAGGTTTGCACAGCCCTAAAGAGAAATAGAGCAGTGATGGAAAAGGAACAGTGCACTGCCAGAGGTGAGGAGGCTGATCACAGCTCCACCTCCGTGTGGGCAGGATACAGCCCATTCACCTTGAACCCATCCCCTCTCGGCAGGCTACTGCCTTGAATGCAGTGCCCTGCTTCACCTGTACGCCACTGCCCAACCTGCCTTCAGTGCACCTCTAGAGAGGAGAGAGCACTGTGCTCTAGCCCTTGAAGCTTTCATTGTTTAACTTGAATTAAAATTCAAACTAACCCCAGCCATGACATTAGGTTCACGGGTCTAGAATTCAACGCCCTATAATTTCATTAAATTTTTTTCTTCAGAAATGATAGTCTTGTTCATTATGCTATCTCTAGAATTATCATGAAGCAGACAGGTTTCATTTTGGCACATAATCTCATGGGCAAAATGGAAACAGCAGTGACCCAGCATGTTTCAAAGGCTAGATTTTCAAAGCCAGATACATAGTTCTGTGCTTACTTGCACTAACGTCTCATAAGCTTTTTCATTTTGGACATCTTAGTGGCCATGCCTGCATCCATATATTCCTTCTCCCAGAGGGGATACGTAGCCTTATATACTACACACGCATACCATTAGCACGTACCTTCATAAATCTAGGTCATGATGCACATTTCTGTTCCTCAGCCTCTCAGAAGACTTGGATGAAGATCATTATTTTCTGTTGATTCAAGCAACTGCTTTTTTTTTTTCTTTTTTTTTTAAATTTGTAGCTTGGGAGCTGTCTCAGCTTATAGAGTTAATTAACATACCGTGCAGTGACACAGGGTCTAAGGCTGATCAACAATAATATGAATTAAACCTATCCCCTCCTTGATAAGTCTGCACACAGAAGACTTAAAATTGAAACTTCAGTTACTTTGTGGAACAAAGTGCTGTTGGCCATTAATGGAAGCAGAACACTACCCTAAAGAGATTAGCAGATTTGTCTTGCAGGAGCATTCAGGATGCAAGCAGAAGTGTAGAAAGCTTTATTTCCTTATGCTTGAAGGTTAATCCTGTCCTCTACAACTTTTCTCATCTTTTTCCAGATCCTTCCCTGACTGTGAGAGCAGATATTACTGGAAGATACTCAAACCGTCTCTACGCATATGAGCCCTCTGATATTTCTTTGTGTAAGTACTATATCCTGAAAGCAGTCAGATTTTTTCACACAATAAGGAATGTCACTAGACATTACACACACCTGCAATCAATAGTTACTGAAAGACAGTCATCCAATGCAAGGTATGGACAGGTTGGGGAAGAATGTAACTTCATGACTCACACTTTCTAGCGATAGTAATACTCAACATTGTTTCATTCGGTGTCAGTATTCACATTTGAATTAGATTAATTTAGTCCAAGTGGAGGTCACCGGGTCTGCCTGACTTAAACTTTCTGAAGTCTAATACTAAAATCTTAGGAAGTTAAGAGGAATGCTAGACTTAGGGTCACTGTGCTGAAGAGAATGATGGTACAACCCTGGAGCCTTGAACATCCTTCTACTTTGAAAGAAAACATAGGTAGTAGGAACTGGCACAATTCAGTACTGCTCATTGTAACCAAGAGTTAGACCACCAGCGCCCTTGCATACAATCTCTGCAGCCCAAGTCAGCAAACCTTTTCTGGAGGCAGTAAAGGGTCACACGTGATAGCCCACCCTCAGCACACAAGTATCGTGTGTGCTGCACAGCTCACATCTCTGACCTGTGAATAACTGTGCACTTGCACTAAGGGAACACATTCTCCCCAGGTGCAATTAAGCAGACTGATGTTCATAAAACGCTCAGCAGAGGCTGCAGAATAGTGCATCAGAATAAATACACCAATAGGGATTTGGGCAAAGACTTTTATAATAAAAATGATACTTCTCTAACATAATTGTAGTCAGAGACAGAGGAAGTTGCAGCAAAAATAACCTGTATGAATATTGCACTTCTAGTGTACTCAAACATGCAGAAAGCTCTGAAGCTCCTGAAGACTGAACTGTAAGGGGAAGGAGGAAGCCCCTGAATACCAAGAAGTCTGATCTTCCATCTCTTCTCCACTCATTGACGCTGGTGGAGAGACTACTCACGGTGGTTTTTAGTGATCTATAGCGCTGGTTATATATATATATATATATAAACACTATTGTTTTACATTAGCACTTTTGTACTGGACAGCATTTTTAAAAGCTAGAGGCTTTTAATTTTGAAGGCATACAGAATACTGTATGATCCAACTGTAAAAAGTGATTTTTTAAAAATAAATCCATTTCAAACATTTTCAAAGATGATGCTGTGTTTTCTATTTCTTTCCTACCTCATTATTATCTGCTGCCATTAGTAAAATCACTGTACTACAGGAGACCACAGCTTGCAACTTTATACATAAGCACTATGGAAGAAAAAGGAAATACGCTTTTTCTATTGCCACTTTCAGCAGCTAGCTAAGCTCTGTATTCCTCAGCCTACTTTCTCTCCCTTTAATTTCTTGGAGCACCCAGAAAGAATAACATCAACAGGAAGCAACCTGTTTCTAGTTCTCGTTATCAGTATTTTCTGTAAAGACAGATAATGAAGTGTGCAATCATTTTATAGAAATTTTCTATATCTTGCAGTTAATTGCATAGTAATGTGCACAATACTTCAGTCTTTAAGAAAACATGTCCTCAAATGCAGCAAAGTAATTGAGACTAGAGGATGCGATTATGGGTTTTTTTGTTTTTTTTTTTTAAACTGGCTGCAGTCTAAGGTGATCTCACAGCATCAGCATATCTACTTGAAGAATAAATAAGAGTGCCCCTTAAAAGATTCCTGCTCACATCAAAATTCATAGCCTTGTGATAGTTATTAATAGGAGAGATATTGTATTTAAGATCCGGTTGGTTTCATGACTGCTTTATGGCTTATGGTTTCTTATTTACTAGCCCTAAAGGGGCTAGAAGTTGCAATTTAAAAAAACAATGACAACAAAAACTAAAGCTGAACACCTTGGGAGCGCGTATCATCTATGTTAAGATTTAGGTAAAAAGGAGGCTTCCCATCTTCAGCGTCAAATATCTAAGCAAGCAGCAGTAGCAGCGTGAAACAATTTGTGCAAGACTATTCCTCCATTACCTTCTCAGCTCTTTAGCAATTCCAGCCATCATTAACCACCACTACAGTCATGATTACAATTATGAGAGAGAAATACATTTGGGAGGGCAGGGCAGACAAGAGAAGGTGGAAATGGCCCAGACACGCGATTCAAAATTCCTTCAGCAGTTTAAGCAAGAGAGGATGGGCTTTCTTTTAGAGCATCCTTTATAATTGAGATGAGGAAGTTCTTTGTTACAGAAAGGTCTTTCCCTTTCTTCCCAAGTAGAAGACATCAAAAAAAGGAAGCACTGGAGGAAGAAACATTATCTAGAAGAAGCTATCAGCAGTCATAAAAAGGAAAAAGGTGTTTATAATACAGAGCAGAAAGATTCAGGAATGTTAGCCCTCACGCATGGAGGTGGGAGCAACTGGTTGTTAGAATCATCTTCATGTACCTGACTCAAAGTGCTAGAGAAATATATCTAATATGAAATAAAAGTTGCCTCTGTCATCACATTTAAAAAGTCCATTTTTATAACACTAGTGAATTAGTACCATTTCTTTAGAAAGCACACGTACTGATGCTATTAACTCTATCAGCTATTCAGCAAGTGGATATAAACTATATTTTAAAGAGTCTAGCAGTCTATATGCTAGAGATGCAAACACACAGGCTAACTCAGTTTGCAGGTATCAAGAAATTCATTTTTAATCACTACATTGCACTGAGTGCTATGTTTCAGCAGTCTGCTTTTCACCTTAGCCAAATCTTCAAGAGATATTAATATATAGTTGGTCAAGTTAATTCTGTTCTCCTCCTCCCCTCTTCCAAATACTGATCATTTAGGTTTATAGAGGCATCAAGCCAAGCTGAGTAATAAGAAAAGGAGGGAAAAAAAAAAAAAAAAAAACAAGGACCCACACAACAAAAACAACCGCACACACCTTTTCATTTCTTTGGAAAACCTGGGAAGGCATTTCTGAAGTAAGTATGCTCAGTAACTTGAAGAGCACAAAATGGACGGAGTTTCAGGAATTCTATTACACTTCAATCTTTAGATAACTAGACCTAAAAATAATAATAGTGCAACCTAATAACACCAGCATATTCCTCTTCACTTACCAGCTATAGATTGCAAAGTACATCTTCACAAAGATAGATTTAACATATGCAAGCTATTTCTTTTTATAATAGATTGCTATATTCATGTGAAAGGCGCAACATGCTGCTCAATGGTAACAGCATGTTAGTTAAAAATCAAGGCTGATTTTTTATTTTTTTAAGCACAGATGCAGAGGAATTACGTTTTGTGTTTTATAGCCAGTTATTTTTAGTGTGATAAAAATGTGTATATATCTTGAAGGAAGTCAATACAGGTTTCTATAGTTTCAAGAGCAATCGACTTTAAGAAAGCATTTCAACATTAGTTAATGTCAAAAGGCATGCGATGTAAGCATTTAGAACATTCCAAGTTAAACTGCTTTACCGTTCTGATATTCTGCTGCTGTAAATAATTTCTAGAAAACTCAGTTACAATTAAGTCCAATTCTCAAACATTTGGATATAAAATAAATATAACGCCTCTCTAGAAGCCAAAGTCTCTATATGACCAAAACTATTTTTGCAAAAGAAAAGACAAAGAAATGCACAACGCAAATGAAAAAACCAAAACCCCCAAGAACAGGTATTAAAACAATGCTCTACTTTAACACATATCAGAACAGTACCCTTCTTGTATACTGACACGCAAATCAGACCTCTCATGACAGAAGCTACTCCCTTTAATCCCAAATAAATGGAGTCAAGATAAATGTGTTTTATTGCTCCCTTAGGAATTAGTTTCTGAAAGAATATCTCTGAAGTGGATTTCAAGTCTTTTTTTTCAGTCATAAATTCAAAGAGGCTGAAACTATTAATAGGTTAGAAAAAGTTTAATGCAACCACCAGATCCACAGATCTGTCTCTTGAAAACTAGAACAAACTCACAATAAGAGTTCTGAGACACAACAGTTTTTAAAGCAGTAACAGTTTCAGTATTTTCTCAGTAATCCGTTCACACTCCAAGATCACCAATCACAGTTACGAAACTAAGAACCACCCAAAACCAAGTGCTAAAAACAATTAGGGGAAAAAAAAGTTAGAATTGTAGCAGCCACATGATATTATTTTAACCTTCATACATCCTCTTCATAAGCCTCCTCTTCCATTCATTATATTTATGTACAAAATGCAGAGCCGATCTAGACTAGGAAAATTAACTGTTGCTATAAACCACCATGAGATGACCATCATCATCTTGACACATATCAAGAATGACTGGTTACTTGCGTAAACAGGACAGCACTCTAAAAGCAGCTGCCTACATTTACATAATGCTAGGAATAACCTGAAGGCTCTTAGTCCCGTTCCTTTTAGTATAGGAGTGCAGTCTTACTCTAAGTGTAGACGTATTTGCTTGAAATACAAACATCCACATTTCTAGACATATGAAGCACAGTAACTCAGAGTAAACACCAGGAGATGGCGCTGATAGTAGATACTGAAGAAATGGTAAGAGCTTGCCACTCACTGAGGAGAAGCTGTTCTTACCAAGCTCTTCACATCGCTCTCTGCGTTTAGGGTCAGCTCGTCCCTTTGATTCCCCAAGGCAATTTCTTCTTTGGGAGCACTGTGCACATGCAAGTCCAGAAGTGTTCTGATGGACCATTATTTAAACTTTTTTGTCTCCTCTGCAAAAGAAAGAGGGTATCTCCCTAGTAAAGGGAAACCCTATGAGAACCCACTTCCATTTGCACTTTCTACCTCCAAAGGAGTCTGCCTTTCCACTTCACTGAGCTGTAGTGCTCCTTAGCAGACGGCCTTAATACTTTTCCTCTTTTCTTGCTGCACCTCCTTCAGAGTTGCCTTTCAGGCTACAGCAGCTGCTTACCATACCAGAAGTAGGTACTTAATGAAGAAAAGATGCAGTACAGATCTGCAATTCAGTGTGATTAAAAACAACCAGAGCATTGTGCACCTCTAGTGTCAAGATGTCCAATCTTCCACCTTACCGCATCACTTGTATCACAGGTTGGACCACGCTTTCCTTCAGCTCAGACGCTACAAGAATACTGCAAAACAATTTCAACTTTTTAATTTTTTTTTAAACAAACTACTGAAAACATAATTATTTTTTTTAAACACTATGCAATCTCTCATCAAATCAAGTCTTTCAGCTGGATGACGGAGGAATATATACTGCTAACTTATCACAACAATTTTACACCATCTGTAAAAATAGTTGTACAACAACTTTCCAGACATCAAGTCAAGTTTCTTACATTAACAAGAAGACAGACCACTGATGATTGAGTCTGATGTTGTGCATATACCAGATTTCATTCACTTCCTAAAGACAAGTTTCAAGTTACTCAGCTGCAGATTACATTTTCTTGGTTTTCTTCATTCCTTCTCCTCTTTAGTGAAGGATACCCATTAAAAATAAAAAAGTATTTTTACTCTCTTAAAGGAATTCTAAAGCTACCAGAAACCCAAAACAAACAGGGAAGAGGGGTGAGGAATGGAGAAGACTACAATAGTCCATTAATACGCACTTATGTGCGGTACAGAAAATAACATCTTCCGCTATTATTTTTCTATTTTTACCCTAAAAGGAAATCAGGAGACCATTATTAAGACATAAAAATAAGTCTACTATAATTCATCCTAATGGCTAACCAACTCATAAGCTCCAAGCACCCAACATAGGTTTTTATCATTTTAATGAGAAGTCGTGTGAATTTTCTGTAATCAATGAATAGAGCAGGAAATACTTTTGGCTTTTTACACACCAAAGCAGCAAGTAGTGCTATAAAACTGACTGAATACAGTTCACCACATCAATTGTTGAAGTATTAACAAAGTTATTTAACCAGCTCTGAGCAGCATTCTGATTCTGTCCAGCTACTGAATACACTAATCAACTTTAGGACAGAGATTCTTAGAAAGGAAACAATGGGAAACTAAAGATGACAACTATGAACTTCTTTGGAAAGAAAGTTTTCCTCTGGGCACATGGAGATTCCCTGTTATGGAGAAATGCCAAACTATGGAGATTTGATATTCTGAAGTAAAGGGCACAGGGAGAAGATTCAGTCCTTTATAAACTTATCAAAGAAATGCACTAGGATTTGCACGGGGATCCTTTTGGTTCCTGTATCTGTACGTCAGCCAGACTCCCAAAATCTGAAAGCAAAGGGCAAAGAACATTATTAGGCAGAGTGTCACCACCCCAACTTCCAACAGTTCTACAGAATTTAGTTTTAATCATAAAACCTTGATAATGAATTTCCAGTCAACAAGTTTAGGATACCTGACTACTGTTAAAATCGCACCCATGAGATTTCTGAACCATTAGAAAAAGAAACGCCCCTCATCAGAAAAAATTTGTGTCTAGCAATGGACAGAAAAACAAGAACATGCCAATGCTGTTCCCACAATGTGAAGTAAAATATTTAGCATGGAATGTCTATTGTAAAATTTTTCTTTTTTTTTCCTTCCCCTCAAAAGAATAGATATTCAAAAAAATATGTTTTTACTGCAACAGTAAATAAAATAATATCCTCCAAATTGTTTCCTTTTACATCTACCATTTTAATATGAGGCTATTTTTCCAATACATTTTCAAGTCTTCCCTCCTCCTCTCCCCAACTGCTTCACATTTTTACTAAAGAAATCAGGACAGGAGTCAGAGTAATTCTGCTGTATAGCTCTTGCTGCTGTAATGCCCATGAACCTTCTGCAAATCGCATTAAGCGGCATGAGGAACATTTTCACATGCTCTGTTGTGGAACTATGAAAGACTTGCTATGAGGATTTTCATTCACTGATGGATAAATAAGTTTATGTACCATCTGTGTACTAAAGCAAAGAGTTAAAAATATCTTTTTAACCTAATGCTTAAAATACAGTTCATAGCACAGCTCTTTCAATGCTCCATTCACCACAAAGCTGTATCTTTGCACTGTGGGAAGCATCAACAAATAATAAAAAATAAAAAAAAGCAGAAATGTGTGCGAAGTAACAGGGGGAAAGCAGAAGAACATGCTAAAATCAGTAGCATTCCTTTATTATTTTAGGAGAATGGTAAAGTCAAACAGCTAAATTTCTGGGAAACTTGAGCAAGTTTACAGCATCACTTTTAAATGTGGTAATTAGTTGCCGTTTGTAATCTAAATAACAGAAGTTTGTGAAAACTCCCAATGTTGAAAAAGATAAGCCCTCCTCTTGGCAAACTTAAGCAAATTGATAGGTTGAAAAAAATTTATCTAATTAGTTATTTGACTCTTGATACAATAGTGGAAGTACTTGTAACAAAACCCCTAAAATTTAAGGCTTTGTTCTGTGAAGCAATTAAAGAGGAAAAAAGTCCTCCATTTTCTAACCTACTCACTCACCTCTGTGAAACTGAAGAAGAGTCCTATACCTCCAACAAATCTCAGCACCATTCCGGAATATTCTTCGATTACCAGTAAACATGGTCGACACTGGTGACTTCTAAAGCAATCCTGTAACACGGATGTTACAGCTGATTACTTGTACTCTATTTTCTGACACACTTTACTGGCTGAAAGCAACCAGTTAGCTCTACTAAAGACTGCCAACCATGGACAAAACTCTCAGTTTTAAAAGTCTACAAAAAACAAACACACATACAAACCACAATGAAACCTTACCTTTACAGAATACTCCATCTTTAGGTCTCCAAGAAATTAAGTAGGGAGCTTAGTAAAAACTAACATTGTAAAAACTAACTTGTACGTTTGTTAAAAACCTCAGCCTTCTATGAAAATATGAAAATAGTTGTACATTTTTGTACACAATGAGAGAAAGTTGCAAGCATTTCACCCTTTGAACAACTTACAGACAAGCAGGTTTCATTTGGATTAAAGGTTCTGAATCCACAACAATTCAGATTTCTCTCAATATCTGTTCTTGCACTGTTTGTGTTATTCCATCCAACCTCTAGAAGCTGACTCTAGGAGACATAAGCACATAAGCATTAAATTAATAGAACTGTTCTTGCACTTCACTGGAGACCAATATACTAGGTAAAGTTGATGATTCCCTTCTCTCTACCTTGGTAAGGAGAATCAAAGCCAAGGGTTCCCAAAGCATAGCCCAAACAGAGATTCATTTGTTTGTTCCCCTTCAGGGAAAAGACACCACATCACAGATACTGTTGCACTGATCCTAGCCTTGTTCCACCAATTAAGTAGCATTTCACAACTAAAATCGTGGGATCCCCAAGTCTAACAGGATAACATACTAAAGTCTGACCTTCACATTCAGACAACTTCAATAGTTTGTGAAATATCATCGCTTAGTACGGTTTACGATCACAATTCATTTTCTTCTGTTCTTTTTCCTAAACTCAGCAATAGCACTAATAATGGAACACTTGACTAATGTAACTGGTGCTGCTCAGATTTAAAATGAAACGTGGGCTTACCTGTAGCAAGCTAATCATTTAGTCACTATCTCCTTGCCTACTTCTAGTGCAGTAAAAATTATTTACCATACCTCATGGCTTTACTTTCACACTTATTGGTCACCTCTGTACCTAATGCAGTCATCACCTTTTCAGTTACACAAGAACAAGCCAATGGCTTTATCACCTTTACATTATGATTACTGTAGATTTCATCAGCTTATCTGGAATTTCTGAACACATGACAAAGTCAAAGTATCACGCTGCTACACTTGTGACCATAAACCTAGACATGAGGAAGAAAAAAAAAATTCCACACCAAAAAAAAAACCCGACACCCAGCACTGCCTGCAGTCTAGTTTGTATTTAAAAGGAAGATGATGAACTTCTGTTTAAAGAGTTCTACTCTTCACTGAAATAAGATTTGTAAAATATATTTTGTGGAAGACAAAGAGAAAATTTGTTTTTCTATATTTTTTATATAATAGAGTAGTCTAGACTAATTGAAAAGTCAAGAAACATTTCTTACCTGTTGTTCCTTGTTTAGTGCCAAACAGGCACAGGAGACAGAAAACTGGACGATAAAGACGAGCAAAAGAATAATCATGTACTGGAAGTGGTAGTTAAGGGTATACTCTCAAACTAATTTTGCTCATACAACATCTATGCCTAATGGCATTCCTTACTTAATTGGATAACAACAGGTGGATACGGAAAAGGTAACTCATTCTCCCCAGCAGCAAACCACCACGTATTATCTCTTTCTGGCTAATCATACGCATACCTTGTATTTCTGGGTTACGTGTTCTTTGCCTGGCAAGAAGACATGAACAGGGACATAATAAAAGAAGCACAATTCAGTAGGAAATTATCTTTTCCTAGTTCTTTTACATGCAGAACTACCTGCTTGTAATACATTAAGTTTTAATTCATATCCTTCAGTCCTCAAAGAACTTGAACATGTAGCAGGCACTGGATTTAAGGGGACAGCAGGAAGCAGGAATTTCTCAACTGTACAGTTCCGAGTTTCAGATTTCCTGCAGCTGCATAGTCCTTTATTAGAATTTTTGTTGTACCTTACCGAGAGACCAGAAATTCTTTCTTTACAATGAAATTCACTCTTCTGCTTGCCCAAGCTGTTATTCAAGACACGGACAAGAAAATGACTTAAAGGTAACTAAATTTTATTTAAAATCATGTTCTGTGTGTGTTCCATTCCGCTAGTTGTTCTTTTGAACTTCTGGAAACATACAACCTGGTTTGAACTATCAGTGTCTGCAGAGCTGAAACCATGCACACAGAATAACATGCTCTGCAGGATAAATCCACCTCAGGCACCACCTCTCTGGTACATACCTTTGATTAGCCTGTACACATTTGAGAAGAGAGCTGAACTCAACTGAAAGATAAAAAGAACTGAACACAATACGCAGCAGCTGCTGTTCCAGGAGGCTTTCAGAGGCCTGAGGAAGGATACGATAAAACACTCTGCTGCACAGAAGCCCCACAGGTTTTTTTCTGCATTTTTGTAGGCAAGTCTAAGACATAAGATTCATGTCTCCAGCAGCAAAACAGTTAGAAGGCAGTTCACTGTAAATGGTCACCTTCAGTAAGTGATTTTCTGGAGCTCTTTTGTGCATCTTTCCTAACCTATTTCCAGATTGATAAAGAAGCAAAGATTTCACAGTTTTGCAGTTCGAATCATACAGGCAGACTGGCAAATCTCTTACTATCTCTGAGCGAAGGCCAACAACTTTGTCGCAGTATGCCACATGACACAGAAGATAGCCAGTCCGTTTCATATGTTAATGTTATTAGCTGTAAAAACATGAATTGACAGAGTCTGCTCACTGGAAAAATTGCCTCCCAATATACCTTGCATTCAGTATCTGCCATGCATTCTTTAGATAGGAGAAATAAGGGATCACTGGAAGTAAGTACGTGGCAGCATTTGCAAAAGATGTCTCTCCAGTCTCCCTCAAAGACAGCCTTGTTTTTGAGAGAGAAAAACCCACAGCTAAATCCCTTAACTCTGGGGACAGATGTTGTCACTTTAAGGTACTTTACCCAAATGAGGTAGTACTCATTTCTTTTCTGGGTACTCCATATTCATAGTCCCCCCCTCCCTCCTCCTGAGGGTTTCTAGTTAGAAAAGGTACTTTGAACTAGGTTAGGAAAAATAGGAGAGTTGCCTCTGGAAGAAACCACCTCATACACTTTTGGACTGATGCATCTAAAAACAGTACAAAACAAAAAAAGACAATAAATGTTGATACTGAAGATTAAGTTTTGAAAGTCAGGCGCTAGATTTGCACCTTGGCTGCTCTTTCCCGAGGCTGGATAAAAACTTAAGCGATTATATTATTTGTCAACTCACTTTGTCACACTACTTATCAGGAGACTGCAACCAGAAAAATAAGAATTTCATCTGATGAATCTGTTCTCTCATCCAAACAGAGCAATTTTGTTATGCAAGGCAGCACCACAGACTGCTTACGCAGTGTCAGTGAGCATAAAGGGGCAGCAAAGCACACGGCGAAGGCCTGTGCTCGTGTCTAATCCGGCATCACAAATGAGGGCTAGGTATGAAAAGAAAGTGCTTTTTGGCAACATGTACTGGTAGCGATGCATTTCTCTGCCAGCTGTCACCAGCTCACTGCCTGGAAGCATCATCTTCCTCTACTGTGAAACATCAACAGCTTGTAAATGTCTAGCTTGTAAAATGGTATAGGAACAAGCATGCAGGAAGAAGCACCTATGACTTAGCGATCCACCATAAACAGCTCTCAGCAAAATTAACATTTTATAATTTTTAAAAGAAGGGGTTAGTAATTGTGTCTTCAGAGTGAAAACAATGGAGACAAAAGGAAAGCAGAATACAATTAGCTAGAAAGGAGGTTTAGACTGCACTTGATCAAAATAGACTGTGAATTTCTGTTCCATTTCTGAAGCATCTAGCAGAACAGTCTCAGTCCATACAGCAAGTTATTTAGGCGACTTGAAAGAAGTTGCAATCCAAGTAATACATCAAAAGGATACAAAGAATAGCAATACTTGATGATGTTTCACTGCCCCAATCAGTCCAACTAAGGCGATTAGGAAGAGAAAAATTCCTACTGCAATTGCTACTCCAACGACTCTGAAACTAGATATGAGGCCAAAGCCTATACCCCATGCTGCGATTCCAATCAGCAGCAGGCTTACCAGCTAGAGGGAAGAAAAAAGAAAAAGTTAGTTTGAATATTAAAAGACAGAATCAGCTTACATACAGCTACACTCTTTGCATTAAAGTCATTGTTAGAAAGATATAATACTTCTTTCCAGTTCAAAGAGAAGAACAACCCACAAACCAACCCTCCGCTTCATCCTAGAGATGACTCTAGTTCCAGATATTTAAAGGCCCACCGTTAATGTGGGGCTGTTCTAACTCAAAATTATCTTCAACCCCAGGCATGTTCAATTCAGAGTCTCTATTCAGGCCCAGAAATACAAGTGTGGATTGTAACCAAAATGACAAATAAGCTAAAATCATCAGTTTTAACTCACAAAACAGAAGAAGAATGAAAATTCTAAATGTGTTCTGAAATGCCGATAGCATATTTAAAGAAAACAGGATATATAGCTCCACAGCTCTGAACACATGAAGAAAGCGTGCTTTGCCAAAACTTATTCTAATCACAAATACAAATGTGTTAATCCATTGGAGAAGCTTCTGCGTAACTGATGTTATGACACAACTGTTAACAAGGTCACACAAAAACACATCTCAGATCTGTATCTCAGGAAAATAGCTCTACTATGAAGTCAACACTATTTCAATACTCAAACCACTCATGTATTTCCTTCCTTTTAAGATGGTATTCAGGGAAGGCAAGCAGAAACTGTCCCAGTTAGTTTACTGGAATTCGCTGCTTATATGGGCAGGAAGTTCCAGCCTTTCCTGTTTCCACACCAAAAACAAAACAAAACAAAAATCCATCATGGAAAGCTGCAGGGAAATCTGTAATGAGATACAACAGGAGGGAAGAAGCATACAATACCAACCCAGATCTCCTAGACAGAAGATGCACAACGCTCATCTGAAAAAAAGGACTTAGACCTATGTGTAACATACCACCAATTGCATACACTGTTAAATACCATTAATTCAATATGGAAGTTTTAACTTTCCAAAATCTTGACCTCGCCCAAAAAAAAAAAAAACCCACCACACCCCCCCCAAAGTTTATGTCATTATAAAAAAAACTGTAAGTGTTTGGCCTAGTCCAAATACTTGGCTTTAATCAGTAACAAATACAGACCGAGCACTTATACCTGCTCACAAAAATATACCTCACAAGTAAGCAGCAACAGAGGATATTTCCAGCTCACCCTTCATTTCAGTACATTTGCCTTGGAGCAGGGAGTTTCTCTTGTCTTTAAGTACCAAACATGTCTGTGTATCTTTTTCAACTAAATGACTTTTTAGAAGCCTGACCCATATAATGCTGTTTTTGAAATATGGAAGTCTCGAGTGACATCAGGAAAGCCACTAAAACAAGCAGTGATGCTCATCAAGATCATATAACACAGTGGGTGTTTTTCTCCTTTGTTTACACAGGAACATACACCAAAAAAAAAGCTTATAAAATCCAGTAATCCAAAGGAGAAATTCTAAAGGAGTCTGCAAGGAAAAAAGGAGGATGCTTGCCACATCTACACCTCTCAGCATGTGAGTAGACAACAGAACAACGTAAAATTTGAAGGAATTGTTCAGTATTGGAAGAGTTCTAAGATTAAATCATATTAGTCTTTGTTCCTCTAAAACATAAACCCTCAATCACCAAGTTTTGTTATGACCGAAACATCTGTCCAAGCTGTCATGAATCTGAGGGAGGGCAGGGGGAGCGAGACAGAATAAAAACCCTTGGATCTGCCACAGGCAGATTTTCTGAATGTAAGCTGCATGAGGCTATAAACCTCTCAATGTTATTAAGTTAAAAATTAGCTTTACTAATCAGACAGTTAAGTGCAAGGTCTACTTGTTCTGATCCTTGCCCATTCACTTTGTTTCATTGTCTCAAACCACTGAGGAGATTTATTTTACCGTTCAAGTGTCAGAAGAGAACAACAAAAAAATCTCACAGCCGGCTTTCCAACCAGACTAATGCAGGCTAATGCAGGCTAATGTCCCGTATCTGCATCAGCTTCAGAGCACTGACTACACACAGGTACTATACAATTCTTGAAAATATCAAGATATATCATGTTTCTCTCATGAGATCTCAAATATTATGTCATATTTCAATTAATTTCAAAGGAAAGCAGAACAAACCTTGCCCCTAATCACTTTCATCAATGCTTCTTTCTCCAGGCTTAGCTATGACTGCAAGTATTCATTTTCAATCAGCCTCCAGCATACCAAAACTATGTTTGTTCAAATCTTTGCTCATTTATTTCACCCAATTGTTTCTGCCTTCTTATGAGATGTGTTTTACTGTTCAGATAAGAACTGATCAGAAGCAAAACAGGAAACCTAAATAAAATCTATGCCTAAACCATCCATTAGATAAATGTGTTGTGTGAGTTGCAGTGTACCATTTACTTTTTTGCTGCTGTTAATCATCTCAGCTTCCATTATTTTCAGGATACGTACAGAAAATTAATGTGGAAGACACTAAAAGTGATTACCATGCTCCCCTGCTGGCCCAAAAAGTCTTTCTGGCAGAAAAAATGACGTGTCAACTCTAGAACAGCTATTTTTTTCAAGTGGAAAAGAAGCCTCTTTAGCTTTTAAGCCTGCTGTTGAACTCCAAATGTTCAAGAATCAGCTGCTGCCCAGCTTAAAAAAAAAAAATTATGACTAGTTTATAATTAAGATACACTTTTAAAAGAATTCTTTAAAAAGAATTGAATAGCTCAGATTCTCTTTTCAGCACTTTCTAGTCAGAGAGCCAACTGGGTTCATATTTTCAGGCTTGTCCTCCACAGTACCGAGACTGCTTTCTCTTTTAAATTAGAAAGTTGTCCATTGTCTAATTCCTTAAAATGTCTGGAGGTTCAGTATAATCACAGGTCTGTGTTACTGGGCTCTCATTGGCAAGCTGTGTAGAAACACTTCATTCCCTCAGCCAGATGCGCAACTTGGATCAAAGTAACTATTGGCTACTCTGATTTTGGCCACTTAAAAATTGTGAAAATATATTCTCTGTAGGAAAATCAACCCTCTGTTTTAAAGCTGAGGAGACGACAGTGGTTTTATAAACCATTCTAGAAATAGATGGAGGATTAAACTCCTGTCTCCTCTGCGTATGGAAGGAAAGCTGAATTCATTGCTGTGACTTCATTTCCAATTTTAGATTGGACAATCAGAATCACTTCCTCTGGACTCTTATTACCAGGTTAACAGGTGCTTGTATAGGAAACATCTCACATTAAAAAAATCCTGCTGACAGATCCAGGTTGTAGAACTAATTAATGGCTCAAACGCAGACCTTCAAGAAACGGACTCCCTGCCTCACAAGCTAAACAGACGTCAGCTCTTTTGCCTCACCTCTCCCCCTGCCCACCCTGCCCCAGAAATAACTGATTACTTTTTTTCCCCCTCTTATTGTTCATTCTGTTAAGCAATAAAACTAGATATCTAGTTTTACAGAGCCATAATGTGAAAAACTAATAAACTCACACTACTGTGAATGGGAAAAAATAAATTTAAACTGTTTTGGAAAAAGTTTTTTTTAAGTCTGTAAAACAAGGCTCGTAGCTTTAGCAACTATTGGGCCACTAGAAACTACTAGCAAGCGATGCTTATTCAGGTTTTGAAACAAAAGAATTTAGATGCAATACTTCAAAGTGGAGCTGCTAAGACTCTGAAGTAAAACGTGCTTGAAAGAAAACCAATCAGTGACCCTAACCCCTTTTAAATGGGTAATATGTACTTTCTAAAGCCATAAGTTTTATTTACTAATAAAAAAGTCACATATTTCTGTTAAAAAAAGAAAAAGGTTTCTCAGTAGAACTTCTAAACTATTTTACTGAAACCAAAAGATAACAGTATTATCCTTGGAAGACAGAATTACAAAAGGAAACTCCATTTTACCTAAAGATTTACTATGTAAGGCCAGCCTCAGTTACAAGTGTTCCCCATAGCTGCCTGATGATCTGGCAGAAATAGATCAAATCACAGTCCAGTTCTTAGTATTAGCACTGACCCTGTTTCCTATAATATTCTCACTAGTAAGCTGCAAAAAGCATGAACTAGAGAAATGGACGGTTAGACTGAAAACTGACTGGACCACTGGGCTCAAAGGGTAGTAATCAATGGCTCAACATCCAATTGGTAACTTATAAGGCCTACCACTGAGGTTGATACTGGGGCCAATAATATTCAGTTTCTTCATCAATAACCTGTGTGATTAGACAGAATGCATCCCTAGAAAATTTGTGGATGACACTAAAAAAATAGAAATAAAAATAAAGGAGTGGCTGACTCCCCAAAAGGGTGATCTAAATATCAGATAAAGTTGAAGGGGCATTACAAAAACCTCAGAAGCAAACTCTTCTCAGTATTGATTGACAATAAAAAAGAGGGCAACAGCCACACGTAGCAGCTTGGGAGGTTCAGATTGGACATTAGAAAAAACATCTTCAAGGCAGTACAGCGCCAAAACAGGTGGGCTCCCAAAAAAGGAGTCCATTTCTTGCCCAGAGAGGTGATGGCAGCTCTGTTCTCACAAGTTTTGAAGACTCGAGCACAGAAAGCCACAGCCGGTGACCATCTAGTGTTGGCCATAATCTTTGTTCACGCAAGACGCTGAACCAGGCAAGCCCTGGAAACCCCTACCAGTCAACACTTAGGCAAATTCAACACCCCACACATCATCCCCAGCTTTTCCCTCCCCCCCCCCCCCCCCCGTCGTATCTTTGCCACTGTCCGTATCAAAAATGGAAAATTTTATCAGAAGGATCAGGGCCACATTTAGCACTGATTAACGACCCTTCTCCATCATCCAGCTCATGAAACAGCCAGCTCCCGAACTTCATGTCAACAAAACACTTAATTAGAAAAGGTTCTCAATAAAAGAGTAATGAACAATTCTTCAGAAGTACTTACGCTGCTTCAAAATACAAGTCTTATTCTTAAAAGTGATTTAAAAGACCCCATTCACTTAGGGCTTGTTTACAAAGCAAGTAAGCAGGCAGTCAAGCAGAAAAATTTATCACGATCTCAAAACAGAGCAAGTTGCCTCACAGAAAGGTGCTACAAGTATATACTGTGCATAAACCAGAAAAAAAACACAGAGTTCGGGGGAAGAGGTGGAGGGGACATATAACAGCTTATGTTCTAAATTTAACACTCACTTAACATAGTCTACCTTCTTTACCAAGACAAACTCTAAGAATCGTATTTAAAAAACACAAACACAATCTTAGCATAATTCAACACATATACTCATCAATTTGAAATTAAGTAAATGCTTTACTGGATCAGACCTCTAGGTAACCAAAGTCCTAAGTGCTTTCACTATGGAAGGAGCTTTTGCTATGTGGTTGAGGACTCTTTCTATGGAGTCTGAAAAAAGTACTAGGAAAAGTAAGTATATTGGTAAAAGACAAAGCATTATTGCAACGTGTGAACTTCTGTGGGAAAGATTTTAGGCATCATAAGGTCAAGAATAGTATAAAGGATCAGACTCCACTTCCTTTATATTAAATACTGACTTCCATTATATTAAAGATAGATGCTTGAACTTCAGAGATATTTCCAAAAAAACAATTTACACACAAGAAGAATTTGTCACAGAAGATTACAAGTTTGCTTGTCCTGTTTTCTAATTAACTTATTGCTATCATGACTAAAGCATTAGCCCTTATAGTACTCTCCTCCTTCCCTTACTGCTGCATAAATCTATTTTTAACTCATCTAAAAGCTAAAAAGAAAAACAAAAAACCAAAACATCCCAACAACCTCTTCTTCATTTGTTATTTTTTTTTATTCTTCAAGTTGCTCATCTCCCCTCCTGCTGTTTTGGCTAAACGTATTGATCCTCTTATTTCTTCCTTCTGTATTTCTCCACAAACTTCTACTATACGTTACAAAAAAGAACCAAGATACAGAGGGGTGATTTCACTAGAAAACACTACTGAGAACCAATTCAATCTCCAGAATCAGTTTTCCTCATTTCCTCAATGGCATGGCACCAGCAAGTCTTATTCTGACTAGTTAGCAACTCTTCAGTATTTCACCTAGTTTGGGCTGCCTCCTAGGTAGAAAGACATACACAAAGTTAGTGTTCGCAAAAGTTTCTTACGGTCTCAGATCAAAAAAAGAGTTACAAAAAACTGCATTTCTGCACTTAAATTTCAAGAAATATGTTCTCACCATTCCTGGTAAAGATATTAAATAGCATTTACACTGGTATCAGCAAATTGAAATATTTACAGAACAGCTGTCAGGCCGGATATGGAACAGGAACTAAAAGCAGACAGATTACACACATGATGAAATACATCCTCCCTAACCCCTCCCTCCATATATAAGTTCCTACTCCATTTCTTTTAAGGGAGCTTTAAAATTTAAACCTCAATTGGTATATACTTTGAAGTTAGAAACTTCTACTGCCCTCCCCCTCAACTTGGCCAATCATTTCTTGGCAGACAGACAGAGTCTGGAAGACAGTTCTTCTGATCCTCTGTGTATCATCTAAAAACATCACACCAAGACATCAGGCAGCATACAGCTGTGCATCTTCAGCGATTTAAAGCTAGCTAAAATGATTTCTATCACGGTTGTAAGGTAGACAACCTGTATGCATCTTTGTTTCCTTACAGTACTCCTCCAGTTTTACTGAAGTAAAGCAACTATAATGAAAGCTCTGGATACCTCCAAAGAATTTGTAACAGAAAACAATCTTCCACCTTTAAGTGACTTATTCAAATGAGGAATGATCAGTAGTCTGGTTACTGAACAGCCTTGAACACATGATGTGGAAAAAACGATTTACGTGAAAGGCAGCATTCCTGTCTCTTATCACAAAAGCCAGTTCTCCTTTTGATTTGATGGGCTAGTTCAGACTTCATGTTACTGTCTAATGATTAGGATTAAATTGCTTTTCACCAAATAACAAACTTGATTGTTAAAATGACACAGAGATTTATACTTACGTTTATACTTCCTGGTCTTTGAAAATGCAAGCTTTCTCCTGTGTAACAGGACCACTCTGGATGTTGTGGTGTGGGTTGGGGTTTGTTTGTTTGTTTGTTAAGAAGCTGCGTAACGTTTTCAGAAAGAACAACGGATCTCACACACTCTTCTTTCACACACTTCTTCAACACGAAAGCATCAGTACAAAGAACATAATTAATGATTTAAGCTGCAAGGCTTAAATCTCCAAATAATCTCCTGTACCTTATCATTCCACAGTTCTTTCACTAAATATGGTCTGCATTACTAGCTCTAAATGTGACTATACACTCTGCACAAGTTAAAAAGTGACAATAAAAAGAATACTCACAAAATTCACTTATATTGACCTACAGAACCACCCCATGTCTAGACTCAGGCCCTGCTACCAGAAATTGCTATAATTTTGTCTACAAACTGACTTATAGCATAGCTGAGTGCATTTCCAAATACTGATAGAAAGTCTTGAAATACACTTATATTTTTGCTGCAGTCACTGTTCTGTATTCTCAAGCGTGTACACAGAAACTTTCCAAAGCAAAACTAGACCGGATTGACATGACCAACATTAAGCTTCCTGCCATGTACTTAGGAGCTTCCATACCACTGTTTTGTTTACACATCAAGATCAGATATACTGCCACCTTCAAAACGACCTTGGGGAAGGCAGAAAAGGCTCGAGGACAACCTACCACTTCTGCTAAGCATCCAGGTAGGAAGAGGAGTTCGAACTACTCAACTGCACTCCCTAAGGCTGCCTGAACACTGCCCGACACAGCAGACAGCAGGCTATTTATGAGTTGCTTCTTATAGCTGGAAACAGGCTCATACAAGTCAAAATGCAGCTGAACTCAGAGATGACAGGTTGGTCTACCGCTATGAAAGAAATTGCCAGAGTTTCCTTCACCTTGCGGCAGGAACCGGGATTCTCCAAGCTCTGTCTGCCGGTACCTGGCTCCATGTGACCACTACAGCAGTCAGGAATTATTGGAAAACATGGACAACAGCTACATTCCCTATCACCTAGGAAAACCCAGATGTTTACACTGCCTCTCAAATCAGGTTTCCTTTATGCCAACTGACAGAACAGAGATGGAGTTGGCAGACTGGCATGGAAGATGCGAGAGTGCCCACCACAGAGGGATGAGCATGCTGCAAGCAACACAAGTATTATTAAAAACCGTACTAGGACAAACAGTTGTGGCCCAAATCTGAAAAGTTCTGTCCTCATTTTTGCATATTTACATAATGCAGTGAAAGTAATTTTGATAAAGAAGGTAGATAATATGAACATGCTAATTATACTATCAATAATTACTTCACTCAGGAGAACAACACGCAGCAACAGAAAAACTTTCAAGATCATAAAATGCAATGCTTTCAATAGTGGTACAAAGAACAGGACACGATAGTCTAGAAGCAAGCTCAGAGAGCAAAGTACTATAAACAGTAAGTTGTTTTAATATGGATTTTTCCAGTGTTTAACGATACGCAGACACTCTTAGGTGGTGAACTGTGCTATTAAAAAAGTACACATATTTAATGGGAATATTGATACAAAGATACTATATACTTTCCTTTAAATGAAAATGGCACTCTAGGTGTGAGAAAACGCGAAAGCCTACTCACCAAAACAAAGTCAAAACATTTGTATACACAGTTATTCCTGCAGCCGCAAATGTTAACTGTTTAAGTGGCTGTTCAAGTGAAAAAAGAAACAGCATCTATCATAAAAATGAACTGACTACCAGTAATTTTTTTTTTAATGCACACATTTAATCTTGACGGCCCAGCTACCCTTTCAGTCTTTCATCACTAACTAGGACTTAGTCATTTCCCTTTCCTTTCTGAAAATCTGATCAAAGTAAGATATTAGCTGCTCAGACTGATTAATTAATACTTCCCTGAGAGGAACACTGTCCACCTAAGAAAATCATTGTCTGATTCATATGAGCAAATACTGGTGGAGCAGGTATCTAGGGTTCTCAATGCCTTGAAGATTAGATAACTTAAGTTAGATTTACATCCTTCAATTTAAATAAGTTTTGTGGATGTCATTTTATTTAGTTTGTCTCAGTTTGCCAGTCAAGAGGAAAAAAATAAATATGAAAGAGTAAAGACAAAATTGTGCCAATACAAGAATTTTTAATACTAGCTTTGGGTATGCAGACAGGTGGTTCCTCCACGTAAGACTTTAATCCAGAAGTCATCAGCAAAGTACCATCAGAAGAGGACGTAACGAGGTTAGTAGGTTTCAGATTTTTTTGCTTTAAACGGCAACTGATTTATTACTGCCAGCACATACACTATTGCTTGGTTTATTACTGTACAAATTAAAACAAGACAGCATCAAAACCAAGTTCCGACACTCTACTCTGATGTTCTGAAAATTAAGATATTCTAAAAGTGTTTTAAAGAAAACCAGAACACAAACTATAACCCTCAATATATACTTCTCAGGGTTATTTCATTCCAAGCACACGATACAAACAGACACTTCAACACTTGCACAAAAAACATTCAGTAAAAGTTGCCTAGTTAACCTTATTTCCCTTCCTTCTCCCAGTGCTGTCCTACTAATTATTATTGTAAAGTAATGTTTTTTAAGTACTGATAACTAAGTTCTCGCCCTGGTTTTCTTCCCCTGCCCCCCCCCCCCTTTTTTGGAAAAAATAAACCCCTAAATCCATTGTGCTGTTCCAGTCCAAGTCTTGTAGTGTCAACTTTTTCACTAACCAAGGAACGGAGAAGCCCACACATTTTGCAAGATCAACTCCTCCAGGTTTACTAAACGCTATTTCTGCAACTCAGAAATCAAGAGCACTAGTCTCCTTACTTTGCCTATCATTAATAGGCACCACATATAACAATTAGATTGCTCCAGTTACTATAATAATAATGTTATTCCTCCTTTTCAATAGAAGTATATGTTCTGCACAGGTCAGATAAAATACTAAGTGCTACCTACAAAATAAATTTAACCCACAGAGGCATACGAGTAAGATTAAGGTCATAGGTATATAGTACAGATGTTATAACTAGAATTACAGAGGTCTTGAAGATCAATCCACCCTCACTGAGGACAAGCATCTTCACAAGACCTACCAGCCTCCTGCGATTTGGTTAATATCTGACTGCAGGAGTAAGTGGTGGTATCTTCAAAAAAAAAAAAAAAAAATCTGTTTTCACATGACATCAAAATGAGATTTTTTGCATGCATCATGCTGGAAAGAACCAGATTTGTCTCTCTCTCCTGTTGCACAGGAGACTTTCTTTCCCCCTCTCCCTTAAAGTCTTGCATTACATGACATCAAAATGAGATTTTTTGCATGCATCATGCTGGAAAGAACCAGATTTGTCTCTCTCTCCTGTTGCACAGGAGACTTTCTTTCCCCCTCTCCCTTAAAGTCTTGCATTACATCTAGGTTACTTAAACAGAAATTTGAGTGGGGCAATCCAATTTACCTTCCTTGCAAGGGACTATGCTAAGCAGACCTCCAACTACAGATACCAAACTAGATGATATCTACCTACTTCCTTCCAGTCTTTCCTTCTCCTTGCCCCACTCTTCTTTGGGGGTTGCAAATGAGGGTCACTTTATATTCACAGTAGTACAATAACACAATTTCAGCTTCAGCACAGGCACATCCATTTATGCTCCATCATGGTGATTACCATCAGGTCTCTAATAACTGCTGGTTATTAGAGTTGTTTGTTCTGATGAACAGCGGTACAGTTGTTTGTTCTCCTGACTTACTTTCAGTGAAAGATCAGGCGGTATTTTCACAAAAGCACTGATACAACTGCCTGCAAGCTCTGAGTGACCTCAATTTTAGTTGGCTGTAAGTCATCCTCATACACAGTTGTCCAACAAATGTTTGTTGACGTTAACCATTGGAGGACACGTTATCTCTCCAGAAGTGCTGTCAGAGGAAGCCATTATATGTAGCTGTGTTTCTTTCTACTTCTGTATCATTTTAAAATGCATAATGAAAAAAAAACATATGAGAACTGCAGATTTTATTGTTCTCTATGGAAAATGAACGCTTAACCTTCCCCAAAGGAAGGAATAAGAGCAGATAATTTGCCTCAGAATTTAAGCTCCCCAGCAGGTCGGTTATTACAGTTAAACATATTCCTCCTTTTTTGCCCTGCATGAGTTCCCACCGCCTGAAGGTGCTACGCTCTGCAACTCCTTGAACTCTTCCAAGGAGGAAAACTGCAGGTCACTCACAAAGCTACTGGGAGCCTCGCCGACCCACGTCGCTAGGGTAGGCAAACATTTCGACTCACCCCCCTCCCTCTCCAAAGTCGAAGCGTTTCCTGAATGAGCCTAACCAACCTAGACAGATTTTTTTTTTTTTTTACACACCTCTACAGCAGACCAATATGGTATTTCTTAACTCAGCGGAAAAGCACTTATTTCAAAACCAGGCTGAGCACTTCGGCAGAGGAGCACCGGCAGCGCAATGCTGCCTTCCTCGCTCGCGCCTCGCTTGCTCAGGGACCTTTCTAGACAACGCGGGCAGCGGCGGCCTCGGCCTCCCGCAGCAAAAGGCCACCCAACGCCGCGGGAGGCCTCCCCCGCGTCCCCGGCCGGCGGGGCTC